ATATCATAATTTATAAAATAAAGTTCAAATAAATACGATACTAATAAACAAGCTTACAAAAGAAGAAGAATGCAATGTAAGGCACAATAATAAAACATAAAATTAGTTAGGGACTAATATTTATATATTTGTCCTAATGGCTTAACTCAAAGACAGGACGACTCTCGAAGTCCTTCTTCCCGCCGAATTGGGGGAGGTCCTGCATTGGAGAGGACCTAATTTGAAGTTGTCAAGAAACACGGTCACACCCCTCCCCCCTCCCCCCTCCCTCGCGCAATGAGCGACGATCCCATGAACATAAAAGAAACAGGGGCGAGGAAGAGAAGAAGTCCTGGCTGAGGAACCCTCCCCGAGACCAAAACTGACACAAAGATCGCTGCTACTACCGGTCCCCATCTCGCTCCCTGAAAAGAAGCAACGAAGACGACCCACGCGGTTCGTCCCAGGCCATCATGGAGGCCCATATTCCTAAAGGGATGGAGAAGCCTCCCCTTTGGAAGGAATACAACGGTATTTCTGACCTCGTCGACCACATCGACGACTTTGAAGTCGTGCTTCACTATCACAACATCCGTGGGCCCATTAAGTGCAGGTTGTTCCCCATGATGCCGAGGAAAACAGCCATGGACTGGTATAAGATCCTACCCTCCATATCGATCACCACCTGGAGGAATTTGAAGAATCAATTCATCAGCAGCTTCACTGCATCTCGTCGGAATCCAAAGACGGAGGTCTCCCTCGAGGAAATCGTCCAGAGGAGTAATGAGACCCTCAGAGAATACATTGATCGGTTCAACCGCGAGGCTATCCAGGACCCCTGTACCGATCAAATGAAGAGATTTTTGCTCGAGAGGGGACTCCTCCCGGTAACTGAATTTAGAAAGGTCGTTTGCGTTGAGCCTCCCATGTCTTTTGATGTACTCCTCAAAAAAGCCCGTGCGTACATGGACTATAAGGAAAAAGAGGCCGCCAACAACGCCCGACTTTCGAGGAAACATGGACCAACTAATGTCCCACAACACAGTGACACAGGCCCTTCTCGATGAATAAGGGAAAAGAGAAGGGAGGATAAACCTCATGACCCCCGCGAGCACAGAGGACCAGCCGGGAGGTTCACCGAGTACACCCTGTTAACCACTTCCCGCGAGTGTATCCTTGAAGAGTGCTCCAATGCTGAGTTCAAGGACGGTGAGGTCAGATGTCCTTGACCCGCCTCTGAAAAGCCTGAGGCTGACAGAACAAAATATTGTCAATACCACCAAAGCCACAGTCACCTGACCGAAGACTGAGTCCACCTGAATGATGCCATCAAGACTCTCATCAAGGCAGGGAGACTCGAGCAATACAAGGGAACGATGCTCCTCGCCAGGATATCCATGTGTTTAAAGAAATTGAGGAGGATACCGACCATCCAATGAATCTGGCCCCCTCCAGGTAGCCTTCTGCATCTCAAGGCTCGAAGACTTCCACATCCTCGACAGTCTTGAAGGTGACTAGCCTTTGTTCATCCACAGTAGATGGGAGAAGTTCCCCTTTTCCATGGTCATATCTAGAAGGGGATTCACTGATGTTTCAGTGAACTCACCAAAGAGGAAACTCAACGAGCTGGTGGATGCAGCCCCGATCCAGGCGGTAACCCTTGAAAGATTCAAGGGAAAATCTGAGTCGATCACCTTTTATCTCGAGGAACTTCCCGACGAAGCCCCCAACTCCAGTTGTCCTCTACTGGTGAGGGTGAAGATGGCCAACTTTAATTTATATCCCATCCTGGTCGACAAAGGGAGTTACGTCGATGTCATGTACACCCACCTGTTTCGCACCTTGCAGCTCGATGATACCCACCTGTCACCATACGTGCAGTCTTACCTGCAAGGATTTAACAGTTCGACCTCTAAGCCATGGGGCTACGTCGAGCTATTTGTCGCATCCGGGGAAGAAACTGCATCTCGACAAGTCAAAGTATGGCTTTTGGTGATCAATTTCCCGTCTCTCTACAACTGCATCCTGGGGAGACCAACATTGGTCGAGCTAACTGCCGTACCCTCCACGGTGCATTTAAAGATGAAGTTCTACACCAAGAGGGTCCATGTCGCAGCCATCCATGGAGACATATCATCTTCAAGGAGATGTTTCAACGCTGCTTCAAAAGGGAAAAACATGGTCGACACTGGAGCATGGCCTACTAAAAGAGCAACCATATCGACAGTAGAGGCTACCTCGACGGGAAAACTTGCTCGAGTCGTAGAACAATAGGCTCCACCAAAGGTCGACTGCATTGCACTCGACACCCGCTTTGACAAAGATGAAGTCGAGGCCCTCAATGGCGAACATGATCCTCTCTGACCCATCCCAAACAGAGACTTCGAGTTTATCCCCCTCGACAAAGACCCAAACAAAGGTGTGAAGATCGATGTGGGGCTCCCTGACCTATCGAGGAAGCAACTCAAAGCCTTCTTGAGGAAGAACATTGATCTGTTTGCGTGGAGCGCTACAGAGATGCCCAAACTCGACCTTGAGGTCTCTATCACCAACTTGTTATAGACTCATCCGCTAGGGCAGTAGTATAATGTAGACGTATGCAGTCTCTCGAAAAAGCAGAGGTTGCTGAAAAAGCTAAAAAAGACCTCCTAGAGGCAAACTTTATTTCTGAGGCCCAGTGTAATACCCCAAATTTGTCCTACCCTTTTTACTTTTATCTGGCTTATGCATCCCGCATTTTTCTCATGTATATAACCTTCATTAGGTTAGCTAACACCTCATGCATCATTCATCAATAAACTTAGCATGGGATCATTGTTCCTGAACAGGATTAGGGTTTTGTCCTGGTTTGAGGTGTATGAATCAAATAAGCTTGAATCATCAGGTTCTCTTATAAAGTGTGGATTATGGAGGCAGGGCTTTGATATGGTTGTTCACTGTGGACTCCTTTCTAATCGAATTACAGGGTGCGGGTGCTCCCACCAACATTTATTAAAGGGGCATTAATTTTGTGTTGAGATCATTGGTCATTAAGTCAAGATGTAAATCACGGTGCAAGATGTGGAGCTTGATGATTTTTTATGTTCAAGGCGTCATTATTCTTTCGACTACTTGTTGCTTCAGTCAGAAGTTAATTCTCTTGAGGATAAGGTTCATCCATCAAGCATGGCGTGTATTAGGTTCATCTTATGGAATATTGATTTAAGGATTTATATGCGTGATGAATGTAATATTTACAAGAGATACCAAGCAGTGTTATCCAATGTATTAGTCTATGGATTCTTTAAGGTATCAAAGATCTCAAGCATGTGTTTTGGTCATGATGTCAGGAATTAATTCGAGGAAAGTCGAAAGATCCATTCATGGTTAATCTCTCGAATTCAAGTTACAAGTTAAAAATTCAAATATCATTCATGACCAATATACTCCTTTTATTCAAGAGTGCCAAGCTACTACAAAACTAACTCATTGCAATTTCAAGCCTGAAGATCATTGTCGCTCAAGTCGGAGGCCACTTATATACTATACAAGATCAAAGAAATTTGGAAATTGAATTAAAGGAGGGAAACGGTTTTCATCCAATGTTCTTGAACCAATTCATTTTGAGAGTTCCAATGTGCAATTACAAGTGAATTCAAGTGCATTACAAGAGGAAAAAGAGAGAAAATCACAGGTCCTTAACAAAATTCACCAATGAAAAAAATTGATTAAAGAAACTCCTAAAACCTATTTCACTTCAGCTCTGGTTTGCTCTTCATCATCTCAAATTGCCTCATGTTATATTGAACTTCCATGCTCCATATTCAACAAGGTCTTTTGCCTTATCTCTCCTCCATGCTTCATGCTTCATCTATCATCAAAACCATACTAACTTCAAAATTGCAACATATGGCTAGAATTTCTGAATCTCAAAACCAGGCATGCATAAGTGTTTGGCAGCATTAGATCAAAGTAAAACAAAACGAAAGATAAAATTCAGTTAAGTATAAAAGGGAGAAAAAGTTACAGAAGTCCAAAACAACATTCATCTAACCGAATTTCCAAGCCCCTGCAAGAACAAGCCAAATTGATTCAAAACCAGCACTCATATATCCAGGACCTTGCAGGAATAACAACTCCAACAAATACTTATAACAGATTTCTAGCAGAACCAAAAGAGATTTTCCTAACTAATTCTAACCATAACTAATTGTAACTGTAACAAAACCCCAATAAACCGTTCCTTACACCAATCACAATAGAAAAACCAATTAACCAAAATAAGAAGATCCAAAACAGTTAGTACTTCTTGTATCCCCATCCAGAACAGAAAATCAGTTATGAAAAAAGAAAAATAGCAAAAATTCCATAACCTCTCTCTCTTAACTCTCCAACATAATTTTTTAACCGATTCACAACTTTTCCTAACCATTTCCTAACATCTCTTAACAGAGCTCCTAATAGCCCTAACTGATAACAGTTTCCATCTTCCAACTAACTTACCAACCAATTCTCTCTCCTAACTGAAATAGAATTGACAAAAACTTCCTAACAAACTTCTTCTAACAGAACAGATCATAACAGAAAAGGATAGGAAGAAGATTCATGGTTCATTTTTAAAAACAAAAAAGGGATAACAGAATGTAACAGGAAGGAAGAGCATAAAAATTCTCACTATCAGATCTCTAACAGAAATTTTGATCCAGTGGCTCTCATGGCTCGATCTCTAACTGATTTCAGATTGTTATCTTCATCCCCTTATCTCAGTCATATTTTCAACATCAATTCTAGAAATCTTCGTCATCTTCCATAACCCTCTTCATCAATCTCCATCAACAATAGCAGCCACTTGATATCTTTATCGCCTTTGTGATCTTCCACCACACATCACCTTCATTATCTTTAACCTTCATCCACAAGCACCTTCAACGGTTTTCTCCACCATCCTTCTTCACCATAAATCTCCTCACTCACTGATTCAACATTAAGAACCTGTGGTTTCTCAAACTTGTAACAACATTGTGATTCAACAACAACACATAATGCCAAATTCAGAAATACAGAGAGATGTAGAAGAAGAAGACGGAGACAAGAGGAAAACGGAATCTCTAGAAAGCAAGGGAAAGGAGCGCTCACCTAAAGCATTCGTAACATTTACCTCTGGTTTTCTTATAATTTTGTCGCTTGTGAAGAGTTGTCGGAGCACTTCCGGCAAGTAAGCCTGTGATCTCCAATATCTCTTCATCTTCTGCATCGAATTTGTCATCACACCATGTGTTTCTGCCTGCTGAATCTTAGCCCTAACATTTTGAGCTACGAATCTTCATCATCATTGCTTAAATTCTGTTTTAAGATCTAGGGTTAGGAAAATATTTAGGATCGGAGGTGGATCTTGGACTCAAACGAGACTGAAGATGAGTTTACGAGGAGGAGACGAATCCGACGGTTTGAAGGATGAGGTTGGAGCGATGTCGTGTGATAGTCGGATTTGTCATAGTGACAGTGTTATGGTGAATCTGATCGGAGAAGAATCATCGTTGCGCTCGAGGGATGAAGGAGTTTGTACAGGTGTGGCTGAGATCGAAGGAACGATAGTGTTTTTGGTCATTGAAGAAGATGAAGGTGTCATTCGCAGCGGTGGTTTGAGAGGATGAATCGAGGGTTTCCAAGAATTCGTAAGGTTACATTAACTTAACCCTAACTACATCCAAACTGCATCATTTTATTTACATTTTTTTTCTTTTAATTTTTTTATTCTAATAATAATGGCAATAATGCTGAATATTGTTTGCGTCGGTGGTTGGGCCTAACACCCCTGGCCCGTTCTTCATTTTTGGGAAAGCTTCTTGATTATTGCCAACAAAAAAAGACTATTAGATTCGTTCTGGATTGGGCTTAACACTAGAATTCTAAACTATTGAGCTTACCATCCAGATTCTAACATACACCCCTGATCTTACCTTTCTCTATGTTAGATTTAGGATTTAATTTTATTTTCTTTGTAATAAGATAACTACAAAATCAATAAAAACTTAGACCTTTTAATTGATTTTAAAAATTAATTTTTGGAATTTTCCGCACGTAAAAAACTAATAGAAAAATACTTTTTCTCTTTTATTTTTTATTCATATTTTGTATCGTCGTGCCTCGTTATTTTTTTGACGCGTTTGTTCATTGTGCAAGGTACATTCTTTTATGTTTTCGATCATATAACATAACAAGTTGTTATATGATCGAAGCATATGGCTTATGCTTGCTTCTGATGCGACATGCCTTATTTCTCATCATCTTGAGAAATTCATATCCTATTATATGTTGTCTTGATATATACGATACTTCGTGATGCTTTGCACATGAACTTCTGATTACGCGTTGCATTCGCAACACGCGTTTGCCTTTATCTTAGTTAGATCTCATTTTTGACTTTGTTTATTTCTTTGTGAAGCTTTCTCGATGCGTACTCCCTACTTCTCCAGCGCTTTCGTCTGCTCTTGACGACTTGCTCGCTTTGGTAGTCTCCGCTACTACCTTCATACTTCTTCGCACTTTACTACATTTCTTTACCGCTTTTCTAGATATCATGAGAAGTAGGATTTTACTGTTTTCTGATGCCATGAGAAATATGGTAAAGATGTATGACGGGGGTCTCTGTTGCTGATCATGTCAGGAACCCCTATGGTTTATATAAAGACCCATTTAGGGCAATTCCACATTGTGTCCATTATGTTTTCTAATTGCGTGTGGTTTGCTTAAAACCCTACCTTTAAGTAGGTATTCTGCAAGTGTGTTTATATTTTTGCGCGCATTATTCCACCATCCCTTATTGAAGTCCTCAAAAGGAAGCGAGTGGAGAGGGTTAGCTATCAACCCCTGCTATTTCATCCGTGTCATCCTTAGCTCGTGACGCACCACAAAGCTTCGGAGTTGTGCCTTCTCTTGTATATAGAGTCGTCAAGTGGGTAAGGGTTCCGCAATCGAACCCCCACGGTTTGTCAGAAGTTTGCATTGGACGATGTTGATACTCCGTGATCGTTCATATCGTCTTCTGTCGTATGCCTCGATCTCCTATATCTTTGTTAGGTGTTCAGTCGCTTTGGACATCACATTTTATTTCTTCATCTCACTCCCACTTGTTTGTCTCGGGTGATACGCTCCCCTTGGCTAATGCATTTCGCTTATTTTCCTTACTATTTTATGTGTGTAATTTTTCAAGCTTGCTTGCTTTATCTTTGTACATACCATGTTCCCTTAGGACGTGCTTGCTCCGTGAATGCAAGTTAGACCTTAGGTTGAAAACCATGCATGCTAACATTAGGTAGAGATTTCCCTTTCATCCTTGACATAGAGCCACCATTGTATGATAACATTAGGTTTAGAAATAGGCTAGTCTCCCATAGACTCTTTTCTTCCCTTTTTTACATCCTTGCATTCAAAACTAAAATTTCTTTTCTTAGCAAATCATAAAACATGCTAATCACACTTAAACCCTTTTTCAAGGTAACAAAAATACAAACCAACTCAAACCTGTGCGCTCAAGCACCTTTTCTCTAAAACCTTTTCAGGTAAGGACATGATTAGTTTACTTCTGTGTCAATGCATAAGTCTCCAAAGTCGAGCTTCGGCAGAAGGCGGAATTAACATTGTCCATAAAAAACATAAAACAAACAAAAACATGTGAGCCGAACTACGGTAGCTCTGATTCCTCAAAAAGGATACGTAGGAATTCATGTAGGGCCCAAGTGAGTACAAATTTATTTTCCCTACATTCTTTTATCATTTCTTTTGCATGAATTCTACCTTTAGCGGTAGTAAACAGTAAGAATAGATTAAATACACCCATAAGATAGATAACAAGAGTGGATACCGTAGAGTACTACGGGCGTGTGGGGTGCTAATACCTTCCCCTTGCATAACATACTCCCTTACCCGATCTCTCGGTCGCAAGACCGTGACTTCTCCCTTCTCAGATTTTCTCGATGTTTACCTTTCCCTTCATGTGGGATAAAATACGTTCAATGGAGACTTCATTGTTTGATGATTTTCAGCCGGTTGTTTCAGCTGGAGACTTCACTGAGGACAGGTTGACCAAATGTTGGTCCATCCAGGAGTCACTCCTACCTCTTGTTTCCTTTCTTTGGGTGTTTATTTTTAGGATTTCAGTTTATTCATTCATACATGATTACCTGAGCATATGTATGCATTGCATTTTACTGTCTTCCATATGCTACTACTGTACTGGATCTGTTTCTTGTTGGATGGGTGTTACAAGAGGTAAAAGGCCCAATACTCAGGCCAAGTGACAACCACGTGAACCATAGGAATAGAGTGAAATACGATGGATAGGGGATGTAGATTTCCCTAGACGGTTGTGTCGTCCATGCTAAGTTTAGGTTTTAATGAGGTGCTATCATTATCATGTAGGTGTACGATGATAGTACTCTCAAGCGAACCCGTGATTTTGAGTTACCTCTGCCTTACCCTAACCTAGTCTTCACCTGTGAGTGGGGCGGGAATATTATTATCATAGGTACAGATGGTGACTATGATCAGACAGTGACTATTTATTCTAATGATTATGTTATAGATTTATGTTGGTAACTTATTCAGATGCTATATTCTGTTGGTGACTATGCGGTGCGAGGATTTATTTTCTGAGTTCCTGACTTGTTTACTTGGAAGTTCATTCGGGCCTTCGATCTTGGTATTACTTGCATGTTTAGAAAAGGCTCAACAGTATCTGATGTTCCAGAAGCCTTGATCTCGTACAATGGAATATCTACATGGTGCTTGGTTGTTATATGTGTGGAAGCTATGTCGGATCTTTGATCTGATAATATTCACATGATTCAGAGCAGTGCAACATTCATATTCAGAAATGATGGAACCTTAACCCCATTTGATCCCATGTCTTTGCATACATAATATGGTTAACCACATGCTTAACATACATGTTATGTTATTCCCAAGGAATCATATTTCTAAGCCTTGTGCTAAAAAATTTCGTCCTTACTTGCGTAAAATCAGAACCAAAGCATGTAAATTCCTTGGAAACGACCGAACATGACATGGCATCCATTCATGCATCCCATGCATATTCATGCATCTATAATAGGTACTTGAATATTGGGGATTCTTATTCAGACCTGGTGTTCTCCTCAGAGGTTCAACTTGATTTCTTACTGCACATGTTCAGAGATCTGTATGGGATAACTCCGTGGGGGACCGACCGATGCGAAAATCCCGATGGGGTTAGTTATGGTATACATGCAAACTTTGCCTTATATCCAGGAATTCTTAGAGAAGGAGTATAATTGATTGAAGACTCAGATAAGCCAGGGCATGAAAGCTCTAATAATGATGTCAATAATCTTGCACTTACTACCACAACAGAGGTTCTCTCTTCTTCTCATCTTTTGGGAATTGCTTTCAATCGTGGAACGCTACATAGTCTTGAGTTCTTGGAACATCTTATCAGCAGATGGATCCCATATACTATGGGATCTTATATTAGTGCTTCATTCATGATACCAATGTCAGATGTGGTTACCACGCCGAGGCATCCGACTATTCAATCAGGGGCACTCTCCACAACTTTGTGTTTCCTGATCTGTTCAACGGTAACCCGTCTTTGTTCCCCTAGTGAATTAATGAAAAAAGCTTTTAAGAAAAAATAGAATAAGTTTGACGAGCATGTTGTTGCGATCCTAATGCATTACATACTATTATTTCCAGCTCTGATATTTGGGGTACTCTTCCCACAAACAATTCTTTTGATTACGATACAGATGCTAGATGTATCCTGTAACACCCCAATTCTACCCCAAGAAATTATTGGAAAATCAGAGTATAAAAATTTCCAATATAACCAGGATGTCACATATTCAAAAAAACACATAAACCTGTCATGCTTTTAGAATAGATACATAACACTTAAAGAAGTGAAATGAACACAAATCAAGAATATAATCTTCATAACATAAACCAAACTTCGATTAATCATACAACAGATTCATAATAATTCTCTAAATAAGATATAGTATCTTTTGAATCATGAAACAATATCAATACGATAAACTCCTCAAATAACAACATAAGGTTCAATAATTAAACAACAAAACAGACTAGCGTTCATTTCCCCCCGAGTGCTACGTGTAGAAATTGGCTTTTAAATCAGAGCCGCCACTATTAGTTTTTATCCTAGGAAAGGGAATCTAACAAAAAACCCTAATTCGCGGACAGAGATTCTAGGTTTCGGACTCAATTAAAACGAAAGGAAGGTGTTAGGCACCTTTCATCTACCTTGTTCACAAGGATACTAAGCTCTAGGTTTAGGTTTGGGGTAAACTGGATTTTAAGTTTTAAATAGAAAGACTCGCCACGATTTTTGATCGTATGCCTACGTATCCTCTTATGAGGAATCAGAGTCCCAATTCGTAGTTCGTATGGGGTTGGTGTTTTTTAGGGGTTTACGAACATATTTTGAATCACCTCACACTCAGTCGGGAGTGGTGATTGCGGAGATTTTGACTGAGTGTGCAGTAAGTCAAAACTAGTTTGAAACCCTTTTGCTAAAAACAGTTGATTAGTTTAGTTTATTGCGAAAATAGTTTGATGATTTGTTTGTGTTTTTTATCGTATTAATTGCAAAAATTCT